ATCCAAGCCCTTCATTTTACATATGTAAAAACTGGAAACTGGCAGCTTTGGAGGACGCACTTTGCTTAAGGTCACATAGGTAACATTTCCCAGAGGACATTTGAACCCATATCCTGACTTCAGCCTGTGATTTGTCTACCATAAGAGGCTGAGTGCCTAAAATGTATCTATCTGCATACCTGTCTCAGCTCCTTCAAAAACTGGAAGTTCAAGAATCTATTGTACTTCAGCTGAAGTTAAAAAAAAAAAAGCAGGGGCAGCAATCCTGATCTTAGACAAAGTAAAAGTAAAAATAGACCTAATTAAAAGAGATAAGGAAGGAAGCTACATCTTGCTAAAAGGTAGCATAGACAATGAAGCAATTAAATTAGAAAAGCAAAGAACAGTCCACCTGCCAAAGCTATGGGGGGGGGGGGAATTCATGACCAAACAAGAGATAGAGAGCTTTAAGGAAATGTAGAAAAGATCATTTTGATCATTTTAAATTGAAAAGCTTTTGTACAAACAAAACCAAAGCAACCAAGATTAAAAGGAAAGCAGAAAGCTGGGAAACAATCTTTACATCAAGTGTCTCTGATAAAGGCCTCATTTCTCAAATATATAGAGAACTGAGTCAAATTTATGAGAATACAAGCCATTCCCCAATTGATAAATGGTCAAAGGATATGAACAGGCAGTTTTCAGATGAAGACATCTATAGTGACATGAAAAAGTGTTTTAAATCACTTTTGATTAGAGAAATGCAATTAAAAATTGTAAGCTCACTGAGGGAGGAACCCTCGATGTCTATTGTACCTAGCATTACACATAGTAGGGACACTGCCCGGGTTCAAACCCAGATCATCTGGTTCCCAATCCAGCATTCCTTCCACACACTGCCTCGCTCACTCGTTTCTGAGATTGACTCCTCCAAGCAGATGTTCAGGACAAATGTCCAAGTAGAGTGGTGTGGATTATCACTGTCATTAATGTAATTTAAAATATGCCACCATGGGTCTTACCACTGGTCAAGATAGTTCAGCCTCTGAGAATGGGGATTTTGGAGGTGAACTCATCACTGAAATGCAATCCCCACCACATCTGGTGTCTGCTTAAATCCCTCCAGTGACAGGGAACAGACCCCACTTCTTGCGTTGCCCTTGTTACTTTTGGACAGCTTTCACCTTCAGGTTTTTTCTTACTTGCCTCTCCTGGCTCAGCAAGCCCTTTTCAAGGGCCTTTTGTAAGCAGGAGACCAACTGTCCCCTCAGGAGTGGTGCCCGCACATCTTGGGAGAGCATAGTACCTGCCATGATATGGTCCTTCAAGGTGAGAAATGTTCCCTGAGCACACGTATCTTCATTACGATGTATAAACCTGTTCTGAAACTCTCCAGATGGTCAGCCTGCACAATGTCGAAGATTTCCCGGCTTCCCAGCAGTTGGTAAAATTGTTTTAGAGCCTCAGGGGGAGTGCTCAGTGTGAGTGGCCTGAAATTGGGGTGGCGGGCATAAGTCTAGCGCCCAGGGACACTGAGCACTCAGCAAAATCCTTGTGGATTGAACAGAGCCATGGATTACTATTGCACATTCTAATTGTGTGCCTCTCCTTAAGGACTGGGACCTCTCACTCATGTGTTAAAAACCTTTTTTGTTCCACTGAAATATCAACAAATATTTCTCAAAAGGCCTCTCCAGACTCTTCTCTAAGCAAGAAGTCAAGCAAAAGGTCAAGAATGACAGGTCTAGAGAAAATGGGTTAAGGGTGGCCACCAAATTTAGAACAACTACCCAGTCTGATAGAGAACATAGCTTTCCCCATTTCTTGAAGGGATGAGTCATGCTCTGCAGATCTGCCTGGAGCTAACTTCATGCAATAAGATGTCCCCACATTGGGCACCCCTGGCGTTCTGTGCCCCACACTCCCTTTTCAGCTTCCTTTTGTGTTTTTTCTTATTTATATCCTCAGAACTGAGCACAGCGACTCACGTACAGCAGACACTTAAAATAAATGTTCACTGAATTGAGTTTTTTAAAAGGTTTAGGGTGTTGATCACAGGAAGAGTCTCTCAGCAAACAAAGGAGGAATTGAGTGGTTTTAAGATTAGATTAAGCAGCTTTGTTCACAGTATAGAACTTTTACCCCAAACTGTACTTTATCATGTCTTTAATCTTCCTTGTTGTTTCATGGCATAGAAAGATGTCCTGGTATGGATAGGGGGACCGTTAATTTGGACACTTCTCTCATGAAGCAAGAAGAAAGGATTAATATTCCTTCTTCCACGTTCCCTCCTGGATTGAGTGCCTAGCCCCATTCTAACTCCTGTTCCATCGTTGCCAGATCCCTTTTGATGTGCGAGGTCTTGGAGTGCCTATGGCCATCCTCAACCCTGCCTCACCCATTTGAGTTCTGAAAGCCCACTTTGCCCCCATACTTCTCTCAAGCAGTCCCACTACTCCTAAGGGGCTGCAGGCATCAAAGGGGTGGGCAGCCCTCCAGTGGTTCCTGGCCCACTGAAACAGCTTGATTTCCTCTTGCTCAGTCTCAACTTCCTTGATGTTTGCAGCCAATGGTGCCCAGCTACAGGTCAGCACTAGAAGATCTACTGGTATTTCTTCCATCACTAATCTTCTGACCCAAGCTTTTTAACCTTTCCACCCCTACTATCATCCTGTATCTCTCTTTTTTTAGGCAACTGGGGTTAAGTGACTTGCCCAGGGTCACACAGCTAGTACATATCAAGTGTTTGGTCGGAAGGTGGATTTGAATTCAGGTCCTCCTGACTTCAGGGCCGGTGCTCTATCCACTGTGCCACCTAGCTGCCCCCCTGTATCTCTTCTTTTGTAGCTAAACTTCCAGAAAAGGCCATTACAACACGTGCCTCCACTTCCTCTTCTTACAATCTGGCCTCAGACTTCGTCATTCCAGCAAAATTGCCAATTAGTACCAAATCCAATGTTCTTTTCTCAATCCTCTTTCTCCTTGACCTCTCTACAGCAGCCTTTGTCAGCTGATCATTCTCTCTCCCTGACATCCTTCTTTCCTGGTTTCCTTCTACCTGTCTCCTGCTGGGTCCTCTTCCAGAACACACCCTCAAATGGTAAGTGTCCCTCAGGCATCTGGTCTGGGCCTTCTCTTCTCCTTCTATACTACTTCATTTGCCCATCTCTATGCTGATGGATTCTCCAATATACTGTTCCTGCCCTGATTTCTCTGCTGACCTCTAATCTCGTATTTCCAACTGCCACCTTTAACTGGACTTCCATAATAGACATCTGAAATTCAATGTCCCTAACCAAACTCAATATCTTTCGCCGTATATTCCACACCCCTGCCCCTCAGTGACTGCAGAGGGCAACACCATCCTCCCATTCCCCCAAGCTCAAAACCTCACATCCTCTGGAACACACCTTTTGTTTGTTGATACTGCCCCTACTATGGTCCCAGCCCTCATCACCTCACGTCTGGACTACGGTAATAGCCTTCGGCCTCTACCTACTCCAATCCATCCTCCATTTGGCCACTAAAGTGATTTTCCTGAAGTGCACATCGGACGAGGTCATGCCCCCGCTATATAACTACTCAAGTTCCCTGCTGCGAACAGGAAATGCCAAATGCTGATTTGGCATTCAAAACCCTTTTTAGCCCAGCCCCCTCCTACCTTTCCAGTCTTCTCACATACTCTGAACCAGTGCCCCCAGCCTCCAGGATGTTGTACATCGGTCCTCCCAGGCCTAGAACGCTCTCCCGCACCCCCCCCACCTAAGTCCCAACAGAAGTCCCACTTTTTTTTTTTGCTTTTAGGCAATTGGGGTTAAGTGACTTGCCCAGGGTCACACAGCTAGTAAGTGTCAAGTGTTTGGTCTGAGGCCGCATTTGAACTCAGGTCCTCCTGACTTCAGGGCTGGTGCTCTACCCACTGCTCCACCTAGCTGCCCCTCAGAAGGCCCACTTTCTACAACCCCTCTAACTTCTAGCGCCTCCCCCCTCAATGATTCCCTACTTATCCTGTGCAAAGCTGGTTGGGCCATATTTGTCTGTCTTCTCCATTCGATTGTGAGCTCCTTGAAGGAAATAATTTTCTTTGTATCTCTAGCACTTAGCACAGCGCCTGGCACATAGCAGGTGCTTAATACATTTTTGGACTCGTGAAGGACACGCACTGACCCTCCCCCACCTCGTGGTAACCCAAGATAAAAGCTAACAGGAGCCAAGCACTTCTGGCACTCTTAAACACCAGCCCATCCTCCAAATCACAGCTGTCCAAGGTCTTAGTGGAAAACGCCTTGCCCCTGGATTTCATCACCAACAGGCCACGTGCACATGAACACACATCACAGAACTGGGCCATCACCAACTTGAAAGGGCAGCTCTGACAGCACAGAATCAGTTTTCTCCTTGGCCTTGTGATCCTGTGGGACGGGCAACACAAGGCTCACAAAAACACTTACACTCATGTGAATGGCAGGCCCTGGGAGGATTGAGCCCTGGCTTCATCTCTGAAATAAGAAAACCACTGCTATAGGAATGAAAACAATGGAATTCAAAAAATATTCATGGGCCTTAAAAAACCCACTTCCCTTTCTCTGATAACATCGCCTCCACTTTAGCTCTCTCTGAATAATTACTTCTCTTTCCTTTGGACAGTTGTACCCAAAAACTTTTTGTGGACTCCAAGAAGGAACCATCTAGCACCTTCCATGCTTTTATCACACCCCTCCCCAAACAAGGACAATCAAGTTCTCATTCCCACACTTACAGATCTCAGATTCAAGAGGAAACAACTTTATTTTAATCAATAGCCATAACTTAAGATGCTCTTTTTGCTAAGAGTTTACATCACAATCATTCATTTTGATGAGAGACCACATAAGCATTTGTCTCATCCCAACATTTTATAGCATGTCATGTTATCTCCAGAGTGGGAATACCCTTCTCCCCCTCGAAGGCTGTTCTGAAACAAAAGGTTATTAGTGACAAACAAAGAAATGAAATACTAGTGGTCTCAGCTTTCTTTACCATTTCACTACTAATTATGGATTATGTTAAATTAGATTGGTCTTCAGAGTTGATTTTTCCATTTCTTTCTTTTGAAGGTCTCAATTAGGCTAATCCTGCAAAAGAAAAAGATAAGTATTATTACACTTACTGTAAACACCTACATCAAGGCCAAAAAAAACAGACTGGGCTGCCCACTGCTGAGTGGACATAATCCTTCAGAGCTTATCATAAGAGATGTGGGCCTTGCCAGGTGGTGGGCACTGGGGAGCCAATTCAAAATCTACCTTCATGTGACATCACAGGCATGTCATTTAACCTCTGAGCCTCAGTTTCCTCACTGTATTAATGAAGATGTTGGTAGCAGCCCCTGTGCCTCACAAAGTTGTGGTGATACTACAGAAGAAGCAGCCATCTAGGCTCTATTTAAGGACTTCTAACCACAGTGAACTCATCATTCCCTTCTGCAGTCCATTCTACTGCAAAGTCTTCCTTGTGCTGAGCAGAAATCCATCTTCCACAAAAAGAAGTGTCTGCTAGCATTCTTCTTAGAGTGATGTTACCATCTCTATGAAGATGTAGGCCCCAAAGCAGTTATTCTCAGAACTACTGAGGATGGAGCTGCCTTCAGAAGATAAGAAAGAGCCACACCTCTCCTAACGCTCCCAGACAGCCACCAGGAGCACTAGTACTTACCATTTGCAAACCTGCACTGCTTCAGCACCTCACTAAAGCCCTCACACAGCTTGAGGTCACCTTGGTTCTGGGCACACTCTAAGAACTGCTTCATCTCGTAGTGGCAGGGGCCCAACTGCTGCTGCGGCTGCTGGTACGCTGGCTGGGCTCCCTGAGGCTCCTGGGAAGATGGTACTTTAAGATACTAGAGAAAGGCATCTCGAGCAAATACTTTTTCATGAATACCACCCAACAAAAAATTAAACTAGAAGGTGATCCTTAGATTGGATCTTTTAAAAAGCATTCACACAAAAAGACACAGTGAGAAAGATGAATAAGATCACAAAGCACTATGGATATAACTGCCATATGATTATGCTTTTAAAAACATTTCTGTCAATATCTTTTATTTTTATAATAAGCAGAGATAGAAGAATGGATGGACACATGACTAAGGAACAGTCTCTGATAAGACACAAGAAGAGGCTGAAAGCTCTAAGACAATTAGCTCTTAAAGACCAGTCTGAAAGGAAACCATGGAAATGATTCAGGACTAATTTCTAAACCCTGGCTTTGGGAAAATGAATGAGAGTTTAATTTCTAATACAATCTGACAGCTCAGCACCCAGAGTCCAACATGACCAGTCCCCATGGACAAATGCCCCTTACTGAAAACTATTAAGGAATAAGACAGTAGCAGCCCTTAAGGAAGATGAGGTATCCACCCAGCATGTACTAATGTACCTGGTAGGTGATGTCAGGCCTTGCAGGCTCAGCATTGCTCCCACCACTGAAGCCACCAGTAATGGCATGACCAATAGTGTGGCCGACAGCTGAGCCCACTGCGACTCCTGCTGCGGTGGTAGCCATCTGGGCCATCAAACCTGGCTGCCTGGGTGCAGCAGCAGGAGGGGCAACTGCAGATGGTGGTACTGCTGCTGGAGGGTGAGCTGCTGGTGCTGGTGCAGCTCTCATTGGGGGAGCCCGACTGTAAAAGAAAAACCAAGATTAGTAAATGCAAAGGGGTGGGAAGTCTTGCACATTTACATTTCAATAACCTAGGTCTTTATTTAAAATATTCTTCATTCTTTTTATTATTATAATACAAACTCCAAATGTCACTGGCTTGTTATGCTGAAAATACGTTGTATTAAGTCATGAAAAGAGAGAAATGTAGGGGTTATAAAAATAAAAGAGATCAACAAAAAATTTTCTAAAAGCATGATCATGTGGAAGTTATGCCCATAGTCCCAAATCAGGAATTATATATACCTCTATACTAATAACTGACAGAAGACCTCAAAAATCCTCCTGGTAGTGGAGAGAGCATCAGCCGTGAACTCAGGAGGACCTGAGTTCAAATTTGGCCTCAGACCAAACACTTACTAGCTGTGTGACCCTGGGCAAGTCACTTAACCTCAATTGCCTAAAAAAATTAAAAAAAAATCCTCCTGGTATAAAAGAAAAATAAATGTACATGGACCCAGAACTGGGTTCAATTCATGACTTGTCACTGGGGGACCTTGGGCAAGTCACTATACTATCCATTTTTTTTTTAAAGATCCTCTGCTGTATATAGAATAAAATAATTTGAAGACTCAATGAAACAAGCCATAAAAGCAGTTTGAAAACCTCCAAGCCTTTGTCATCAACAATAACAAAAACAAGGATGAGATGGACAAACCCCACCCTCAACTCTACTCTGGTCAAGCAGAAGAGAAATCATTAGTTCCTGAGTAACAGTGGCTGGGCAGATCAAGTCCCTCGTGACTGAGGGTGGACCCAAAACCATCATCAAGCAGCGGATTACACTTAAGGCTCAAAGGATTTGGTGCAGAAAAGCCCTTTAATCTAGTATAATCCCTCATTTCACACAGCAGGAAGCCAAGGACATGCCCAGAATGGTGTAAGAATGGGTGACTTCAAGGAGCAGGAACCATGTAAGAGTCTCTAGGCCCCGATCAAAACGGGGAGGCCTTGAGCAAGATTTTACAACAAAGCCCGCTAATTTTCCATGAACTTAATATACACTTTTTGGTAACTGAATTTCAATGTAATTGGTTTCTCTGGTCAACAAGTATTATTAAGCACCTACTACGTGGAGATACAATCAAAGACAAAACACAGTTCCTGCTTCTAGCAGCCTGGTCTAAAGGGGAGGAGAATACATGCAAAAACAGCTATGTAAAAGGAGACACACAGGACACATTGGAGATAAGCACAAAAGGAAGCCAGACCAGCATTAAAAGTGATCCAGAAAGGCTTCCTGTAAAAGGCAGGATTTTAGCTGGACTTTGAAAAGGACAGAAGATAGAGGTGAGAGAGCATTCCAGGCATGGAGGAAAGCCAGTGAAACTAGCTGGAATTAAGAAAAATGTGCTGTGCAAGGCAGCCAGCGGCGCTGGATGCCATAAGAACTGGGAAGGGGGGAGGGGGACAGGTTACGAAGGGCTTTAAAAGCCAAAATAAGAGATTTTATGTTTCACCCTGGATATTATAGGGAGTCACTGGAGTTATCGAATGTGTGTCAGCCATAATATTGTGGGATCTGACTCCCCACCCTTGGAAGGGGTCCACGGAGCTAATCTCCCTTAAGCGGGGGGGGGGGGGGGGGCCATCTCCAGTCGTCCTGATGCGTATCTGGCCACTGGACCCAGAAGGCTCAGGAGACGAAAGTGAGGCTGGTGACTTTGCACAGCCCTCCCTCCCTTAAATCCAATTCACTTGCATGTCGTGATTCTGACGTCACGGTCCTCTTGGAGAATCAAGGACAAACAACAACAGATCTTAGGCAGTAATTAATATAACCTTTAATTAAAGATTATAAGTAGTGCACTACTTTTCGCGTGTTAAGGGATCACAGAATCACGAAACCGTTCGGAACCACATTACAGGGAAGAGTCGCACAAATAGGGTATTCGGAAAGGGGGGCCGCTTTAAGAAATGAGCTAACACCCTGGTTTTAACTATAGAAATTTCATTATAATTTTACTTTGAAATTAGACTTTTCGTCCTCTCTATTTTGTCTAACGTCTTGAATCTCGGTAATTATGGCCCGAAGCCCGAGGGCATAGGGAGGTAAACAGAGGCAATGGGCGGGAGTGGGGTGCTAAGGGCCCTAAAAGAGCTCAATGCCCGGCTCCTCTGCCCCCCTGGATGTTCAGGCACGGTGCAGTGTGGCCGCCGTCCGGCTTCAAGCTCCAAACTCCAATCCTCCCTGAGTTGGACCTGCCCGCAGGAGGTGACCTGCGCAGCCCGGGCCCGGAAGTAGGCAGGATGGGGCCCCCTGCGGCGGGAACCACGTGGGTCTCGAAGGGGGACAACGCGCATGCGAGAAGTGGGGGGGCAGATGGGGGGGCCATAGGGCTCACTGCCCCTCCCCCACCAGAGGCCTTCCCGGCTGCGTCACGGCGCTTTGAGCTCCCACTCCTCGCGTTCTTTCCCCCGGAGCCACCCCGCCACCGTCTCGTCACCCCGGCCTCGCCTCTTACCTGGCCGGGGGAGCCACCCGGGAGGTCCGGCTCCTGCTTCCGCGCGGCATAGTCAACACCTACGGTTAGAGGTCCTGGGGAGAAGTGAGAGGCGACAAGCTGCAAGGGTTTCTAGCAGTGGGTGCCTATACAGTTTCCGACCAATCAGTGGCCACCCGCCTGCGCACTCGCGGCCAATCAGCAGCCGCCCGCCCCCACGAACCGCCTCCAGCCAATCAGCGCCTCTCGCAAGGCCTTTCCGGCTCGCCCCCCTCTGACCGTATTTTGAAGGTCACTGGGAGAAGCAGTAGAGTCACGCGTCGCGCCCGTTGGACGTTACTCGCCGGGCTCTTCCCAGCCGTTTGTAAGCCGGAAGCACAGGCCGTTGCCTAGCAACCGCCTCTCGGCTTGAGCCCGGAAACGGAACTACGTCTTTCTTCCAAGGGGCGGGGAAATCTGGCATTGGCTTACGAGGGGCAGAGTCAGGGCAAGAAGGCATCCTGGGAAGTTTTTCGTTCAATTGCAGCGTCAAGGACCCTGGGGACGGAGTTGCGCAGGCACCCCGGAAACTGGGGTATCTCCTTGTATTCCCTGCCCTTAGCACAGCGTCTGGCCTGTACATAGTGGGTGCATAATAAGTCCTTGTTGACTGGACCTGAGTCTGGACAGAGCGCCCCGAGGTGGCCTTCAAGGCCTGGCTAGACCTTCCCGCATCGCTGCCCGCTCGGGGCAGTGCGGTCAGCCTGGCCCTGTGGTCCCAACACCAGGGATTGTTGCTCTGCCCCTTCTCCCCGAGCAGGTCCAGCGCCCGTATGGTCAGCCAGCCAATAAGCATTTATTGGGCGTCTGCTGTGCGCCAGGCATTGTGCTCGCCCTGCCCTCGAGGGTCTCACAGTTTATAGGGGGAAGAGGAACATCTGTAGACAGACAAGATGAATGTGTTGGTGCAGTTTGGGGCTGCTGGAAACCCGAAAATATGAGTGTTAAGGTTTGGGGGTGCTGGGACCCCAAAATCACCACCCCGGGGGTCCTGCGCAAATGAATTTGTCCCAAGCCTTCTTTCATCCAAAGACAAAGTGTTTTTAAAGATCAGACACATTGGCCAAACTCTTAAGGAATCTAAACATTTGTGATGCTGTGTTGACAAACGGCTTGAGCAAGTCCCTAAATCCACCCCAAGCTGGCTCTTATATACAGGAAGACTGTGGGAGGGGTCTAGGACTGGCCAAGTAGTTTGGGGTGACTGGAGGAGGGGTATCTTAATGGGAATGGGCAGGTAGAATGGCGTCTGGATAAGACCAAAGGTGGGAAGGGGGGGGGGGACCAGACAATAGAGGGCTAGGCTCAATTAAGGGTAACAAAGAATTGGGAGATTGGGCATAGGCAAGAAGGAAGGCCAGTTGATAGGATTATAGCTTCAGGCTAAAGCCAGAGACTTGGCCATGTAGGAAAGTCCAGCGGTTTTCCTTTTAGGGGTTCAGATCCCATCCTCATCAAGGTACAGGGTGAGTCTGTCTGGAAAGAATTCAAGCACTCAGGCCTTCTTTCAGTCAGAGTAGCAAGGTTTGTTGTAACCCAATGAAATGGGCTGGATTTCTAAAGAATCTTCGATTTGATGGGGTGAGATACTTGATACTTGTATACAAAAAAAGGAGCAGTGAGATCTGGATGGAATTAAGAAGTGGTCAATAGCCTGGGGTAGGCCAGGTGTGACAGTGAAGAGAGTTAGGTGGTCTGGGCTGGGTCAGAGAACCACAGTGAAAGGACTATTGAGTTATCCAGATGGGCTGGGATGGGCCAGGTGCCTTGGGTGATCCTCCTGGAACTGGGTTGCTGAAATGTATAGGAAAATTCAGGATCCAGGTCCCATCAGTATCTGTGTAAATGGACAGTAATTATAGGGGGAAGGCACTAGCACTGCAGGAGACCTAGAAAGGCTTCTTGGATAGTGAGATTTGAGCTGTGTCTTGTAGAGAGCCTGGAGGTGCAGGTGAAAGTAAAAAGGGAGCATTCCAGGCAGGAGGACGGCCAGTGGGGAGATGGAATGCTGTGTTAGAGGAACAGCAAGATAGGTTTCGTAAAGTTAATTAGGATGGTGATTTCGGCTGTGGTAGGAAGAGTAAATTAGGGGAAACATTGGAGGCAGAAAGATGAAATTAGGAGGCTATACATCTAGGCAAGATATGGGGACCTGAACTTGGGGAGAATGGGGGGAAAGGATGGTGAGAAAGACGTAGAGGAAGAATCAACAGCATTTGGTAATTAACTTGATGTGAAAATGTAAATCAACAAGCTAGGTGCCCATACGTGCCAGGGGATACGCACATTATGAAGAATCCAATCCTGCTATCAGGGAGCGTCAGTTCTGTCATTGGAGAAAACATGCATATGTGCAAACACATAAATACGAGGTAGTTTGGGTGCCTTAGGAAAGTTTTTGTGTATACAATGGTGCTTGAATTGCGTCTGGAAGCAGAGGTGAGTAAGGTGTGGGTCAACTGAGCTGGACCATGGTGTGGGAAGGGGAGTAATGCAACATTGGACCGCTAGGTGGCGCAAACAGCTAGCGTGCTGGGCTTGGAGTCAGGAAGACCTGAATTCAAATACTGATTCAGACCCTTAGTGGAGTGACTCTGGACTAGTCTCCTAAAGTGTCTGCCCCAGTAAGACTGGGATCGTAATACCACTTGTCTCGCAGGGTTGTTGTGGGAATCAAATGAGGTAGTGTACGTAAAACATATAAATCCTCTTATAATTATAATGAGGCTAGAAAGATAGCTGGGAACCAGGGTGCGAGTGATTTTAAAAATCAAAATAAAGTGGTTATATTTTATCTTAGCGGTAGTAGGGAGCCACAGGAGCTAATGAGCAGAGGAGTGACGTGGTCACATCTGTACAGCTCTGTGTGTAGAAGATAGATTGGAATGGGAGAGAATTGAGGCCAGTGAGAATAGCGAAGAGATGGGTAACAACTACTGTAGTGGCTGTCTAAAAAGACAAGGGGTCAATATATACGAGTACAAAAATATGTACAGCAGCTCTCTTCATGGTAGCCAAAAACTGGAAATGAAGGAGGCTCCCAGTTATTGGGAGTGGCTAAACAAATTGTGGTATAGGAATAATCATGGAATATTGTGCCATAAGAAACGATGGAATGGGAAGAACCAGAGGCAACAATGAATGCCATGACCAGAACTAGAACAATTTACATGACATTATAGAGAAAAAACACCTTTTGAGAGTCTTTAGAATTCTGCCTACAATGGGAGTCTAGAGGACTGAGCATGAATCACGTCACCTACCTCCTGCCCGAAAGGCTGATGTCCATCAGATCCAGAAGAAGACATGCACTTCGGACCTGTTGGGGGGGGAGGGTGCTTTGCTGGTCCATGTGAGTTTGTTGTGACGGTTTTGTTTTTTGTCATTGTTAAAAATGGATGGGATGGGATAGTAGGAAGAAGAGATAATTTTTAAAAATTAAGTTAGATACAGAAGATTTTATGGAGGTAAGAATGGCAAGATTTGGCAATTGATTGAATATGAGGAATTAGGGAGAATGAGAAGTTGAAGATAACACCAAGATTATGGACTTGGGAGATTGGAAGGATGGTGGTACATTTGAAAAAAAAAAGCAAGTGGGGGAGCTAGGTGGCACCTTGGATAGAGCACTGCCCTGGGGTCAAGAGGACCTGAGTTCAAATCCAACCTCCAACAATTACTAGCTGTGTGCCCCTGGGCAAGGAACTTGACCCCAATTACCTAAAGAAAACAAAAAAAATTTAAAAGTTGGTTGGATTTGGGCAGAAATTTTGAACATGTTGAGTTTGAGAGTTTTTTAGGGTATCTGGTTTGAAGCATCTAAGAGGCAATTAGTTGGTGACTCAGGACTGAAGCTCAAGGAGAAAGCCTGAGAGAGAGAGAGAGAGAGAGAGAGAGTGTGTGTGTGTGTGTGTGTGTGTGTGTGTGTGTGTGTAAGTGCATAATTAAATAATAAGATTATTAAACCCATGGGAACTGATGAAGTCACCTAGAATGTAGGGCCAGGGGTTCTTACCTAGAGGACTGTGATATTTAAAAACAAGTTATTTTTTCCACATACATATAAAAACAATTTTTAACATTCATTAGGTTTTTTAAGTTTTGAGTTCTAAATTCTATCCCTCCCTCCCTTTGTTCCCTTCCTGAGACTGTAAGCAATCTGATATAGATTATCCATGTGTAATGATATAAAACATTTCCATATTAATCATTTTGTGCAAGAAGACAGAAAACAAAAAAAGTGAAAAATAGTACATTAAAAAATTTTTTTTTCTAACTGTATTTTAATGTAATTGTTTTCCTTTGTTTTTTGCATTTTAAAATTCTTCTGAGGGGGGTCCATAGGTGTCACCAGGCTGCCAGAGGGGCTGGGCTTATGACAAAAAAAAGGTGAAAGAACCCCGTCGGCAGGGAGAAAAGACCCTGGACACAGCTTCAGGGAACACCTCTAGTTAGGGGGCATGATCTGGGAAGGGGAGAAAAACAACAGACCAGTTTTATGCCTAGGTCATTACCCAGTCTTCTCAAGAATAGCAGTACTACCAGAAGAAACAGGGTAGTTGGAAAGAGGGTGGCGGAGGAGGGAGGTTGAGCTAAGCTTGGGGACATCAAGTGTGAGTGCCAACAAGAGCTCACCAGCTTACAGTATATCCTTCAGATATTTGGAAATGTGGACTGGAAAGGGTGAAGGAGGGAGATAAAACTCAGGGAGTACTTTGCATAGAGTTGATAATGTAAGGCGGGGGAGAAAAAGGAATGTCATGTTTGTGACTTTTGCTGTCTCAGTGTCTATTTTTCTAAGTTCTCATATATTTATTTTTTAAAGGTCCCTGCATCCAGTGTTGCTGGAGAACCCATTACAATAAACGAGTAAACACATACTGGGTTCAAACCACTGGGGAAGAGAAAAAGTTTATATAAAAAAGGAACTTAAGAGTCTGGCAGAGCGATGACAACCAAAAAGGCTCTGTTGTTATACAAGCCCATTATAGAGTCCCCCCAGAAGCACCACTTTGGGTCTAAGGGTGATGGTTCATAGCATCTGCAGTAAGAAGCTGTCTGGAGGAGAAAAGCCATATCCCCACAGAATTGTTAGATCGTAGGAATCT